ACCATGATCGTTGATTCTTGAGAGATTGTTTATAGTCTGAATGTGCGAAATGAACTGATTCATAGCGAGCAAAACTATTTAGAAATCAGGTTTATTATTCGACATCTAAAAAAGAAATGACTTATCAAAACCATTACTTGTATTGGTTATCTAATCCGTGCACGAGTAGAGACCATGACTATTATTCAATTTATTCAACTTTAATTGAACGTAAGTGAAGATAAGATGAGAACGAACATGCTGGCTATACCGGAACAACAACAAAAATAACAAGAATTCCCCTAATTTGCAGTTTGTACATTGTGACGTGATCATCAATGAAGACATACAGAGACTGGCAATTCTAATTATCATGTGAGCGCTAGGTGTGATGCAAGCTCAGAAACTTTAGTAGGGGAACTCTGAATACGTATTCAAATTCAACAAATGGCTTTTATCGATGATTAAAGGGAAGGTATGAAAAGAAATTCAAAAAGAGGCATTCAACCATCACAAACAGAGAAAAACAGTAGGAGACTGTTCTCTATTTAGATAATTTAATTCAATCCCTCCTTATTCGGCCTGTAAATTGACATTACCGTTACGACAAATGTTCCATCCGAAAAAACCGTTCCAACAAAAAAAAATTTTGTGTTACACATTGAGATCTTGTTCAAACCACTGGATGTAAGTTTCAACTATTGTAAATGATGTATTGTTCTTCAATCCATCAGGAGTATACAAAGTTCTCAGTAGAGGTAAATCTTTTCTAGTAATTTCCGTCAATTTGTCTGCCATATCGAATTTCAGAGAGTGATTCGTAGTATGAACGTACCAAATGAACTAATTTATAGCGAAACTGACTTATTCACAATAACCTTCATGACGACTATCCTATGATCATGAAAAAAAATGACTGATCACACATCAAAATTAATGACGAGGATCACGGTTATATAAGTTACAGAAACAAATTCCAACAAAAAAAAAAGTTAAAAACACTATCTACATCAGATCCATTTAATTCTTTAGTAATTGATTTATTCTCAATCGAAAATGGATTGCATTCTAGCAAAAGTTCATTTTTCTAAGTTATTCGTTTGATTTTATTCATTCGTCAGTTAAAAAGTTAAATTTCACGTGACTTTAGTATAAATCAGATGCAAAACATTAATCATTTTGAATCCATGTTTGTGTAATAGTGATATAGAGGCTGCGTTGTTTTCCGATACAGCACCAAAAACATGATGGCCCAGTTCGGCAATTTTCTTCGATATACATCTAAGCGCTAATCCTCCAAACCCTTTGCCAAAGAAAAGTTCGTCTGTTTGTAAGGCTGCAATGAGACCGGTTGGATAACTAGAACAAAATCAATTTTAGTGATGAGAAATACTTTTAAGGATCTATTTTTAACATGAAACGTTTTGAAAACCGAATTTTTCGAGACAAAAAGCGGGATGCATGTCTGTTATTTCAAAGATTATACACTCACCGAAGTGCCCATGCAACAAGAGTTCCATCCTCCGTAAGTGCTCCGACACTTGGATTATACTTGGCCATTGCTTGTATTAATGGGATTGTCTTTTGATCACAATACGCCCATACCGAGATCACTTTTTCGACATCGGACTCCGTCAACGACCGCAGCTCGATTCCTTTGGGTGGCCTAGAAAAAATTTCCTTCTTCAAGTAACCTTTCAATGTTGATCTTCCAATCTCACCGTGCAACATTTTTGAACTTTTTTTTTGCGGCTATTTTTCGAAAAAAAATCGAACATTTGTTCGAGAGGCACCCTAATTGTTCATCCGATTGGCTTCAAATTTGGTATGGATTAGTTTTTTAATGAAAAAATTAGATTCCAATACCTAAATTGCAGTTTTATCTGCAAGAAAGTATAGTCGCCGAACAAAGTTTGCTATTTTTCAGTTTTGGTGAGTTCAAACATGTTTTGTGCTATATCTCGCGAACCTCCCAACCGATTTTGATAAATAGGGTACCAAAATTTATGGAAAGGTCTCACCTTTCAAGTAATGTAGGTTTCTATCATAATTTTAGAGCTCTAAACCAAATTTCACTGTGATATGTTGATAGGCGCTACCTTAGAGCCTACCAAAATCGATAACTTTCTTATATGCACGTCACCCCGAAAAAGTAATGATGCAGTTTTGTTTGGTTTTTGGTCCTCTAAAACCGAGGACTTGAAATCTCGATAGGCAAAAAAAAAGTTCAAAAATGTTGCACGGTGTCTAATGACAATTTCTTACTGCACATCCAATTTCAATGCCTCTTCTTGTGTCAAGTGATAGAGCAAAAATTCAATACAATGATCGACGGGTACGTTCGCTTTTTCTAGGGCATTTGTGACCACTGGCAGCAGTTCTGCTCGAATATTATGGAATATGTAGTCTTTCGAATAGTCAATCAGTTGTAACAATCGAGACAATCGGTCATAAGATTCGTTAAACGTGTCCGCAAACGCAACATTATGATCCTAAAATTAGTTTTGAAGTTGAATTTGTTTTTAACCGTTTGTCTGTAATGTGGGGTTTATGTGACCCCAAATACTCTAAATTCGCTATAACTTTTCAATTTCAAGTTGTATGATGTTATAATTTATTGACATCTTCAATCTAGTTGAAACACGCATTTTGAGCACTTATTTGTCAAAATCGGTCCATAAAAACCCGAGATATTCTGACTTGAAGAGAAGACTTACAAATGCTGTAAGATGGGGTCATATGGACCCCAAATTAAAGTGCCCATATTATTGCTAAAATCTTATTTTATCTAATTAAATCAAGAATATTTTTAAAATTTGAAGTTTTATCTTCATTTTGAGTCATATTTTGTTCAGATACGACAAGTAGTTTCAATGTTTTGATCACTTCCAAATGGCACCTAAATTGATGAAATTCCAGTTTTTATCGAATTATTACCAGAGAGGATAAATTAAGGCTTTTAAAATCGTGATTTAGGCGCCTAAAAAGGCTCGAAAAATGGATAGAAAGGCTCGAGAATAGGCTCGCTAAAAAAGAGAATAAAACACAAAATGAAC